ATCGCACCTAATCCTACTGACACTGCATCGCATATCTCAGGGTGATAGAACATCGGATAGGCCCATCCGATACAAATATCTTGGCAGTGTCTACATTTACACTTTTTCATCTGGTAGATGATACTTGTGTAATACCATTAGATGGCTTTATACATGTAGCTACAGCTCTTGACACTGAGCCTGTGTGGTTTAATTGTTACACAACTTGTTACATATGTACATCATCTATTACACATGTAATATATGTGTTACCTATGTATTACACCTATCCCTCCTATTTACTATGTATGTGCATGACTTCTTTCAGCCTGTGGGACTTTCCTGCAGTTCTCAGGGCTGACAATTCACAATCCCATACCACAAGGGTCTGATGGGTCTGTTCCAGACAAAACCAACATGCTTGGTGATCCACCAGGCCAACCAGCTTTCTGGGTGGACCTCTGGTATGAGGATGATGATGAGCAAGGGGAAATCCTGCAGTTCTGTGTCCAGGCCAAATACAACCTTGATGCAAGAAATCTCCAAGTAGAATCAGTCCTGAGTCTGATGCAACACCAAGACATCTTCCTTCTGGAGAGCACATGCTATGGAAAATCATGACTACCTGAATTATACCTCCTAGCATTTAAACTGGAATGTTGGGCCATCACATTTGTACTGAATCCATTGGATGCCTTGGGAAACAATCAGGCATGCACTTGCACTTTGCATCAGCACCAGTTCCTTCAGAGAAAAAACCAACTGGCATGGTGATGCTTATTGTAGATAAATATATATATATATATATATATATATTCAGGGCTTCACATCAATCAAACTTGTTGATGTTTCTATAATCTGCTTCATGTTAAAGTGATCCAACACCTCTACTCTTACATGGTCTCTGCTGTCTCCAATTGCAATCCAGACCATATCACAAGGGTTCTTTGCTGGCTCCTTCACTGCCAAGATATTTGTATCGGATGGGCCTATCCGATGTTCTATCACCCCAAGATATGCGATGCAGTGTCAGTAGGATTAGGTGTGATGGAATTACTATTGGTATCTAATGCTCCGACACCATATTGCAGTGTAATTCCATCGCACCTAATCCTACTGACACTGCATCGCATATCTTGGGGTGATAGAACATCGGATAGGCCCATCCGATACAAATATCTTGGCAGTGCTTCCTACACATAAGGGATCACATTGGAAATGGCCACATAGCCTAGTGGTTGAAGGCAGCACATCTAGTGTTGTGTGATAGCTTACATGCTGAGGTCCTGGGTTCAAATTCCAGTCTGGTCAATCTTTATTGTCTCACAAATTTCACATTTTGGACTTTCACAAAGAAGGTGGGATATAAAATCCTGGCTGAAAATTACCAGTTTGTATATCTGGCAAGTGTTGGAATGTCTCTATCACCTACTGCTAGGGGAATTGTACTGACTTACACTTTGAGTCAGTCACTGGACATTTTTCTCACAAGTAACCATTTTGAGAAGATATTTTTTGACAAGGCTTTCCAACAGATGCTTGGTTTTGAAGGTGGTTGAAAAAGCACATCTTATCTATTGTTGGGGCTTGGCTATGAGTGGACAAATCAAGTACATAAAGTGCTACAATCTGATGCAAGACAAAATGCCTTTCTGACCATCCTATGGCAACTTTGTTCAAAGTTTTCTTGCAACAAAAAAATTCTGATGCTTCTTACATCTGCAACATGTCCTCCAGATGCATTTGAAGTGATTTTGTCTAACCTGAAGATCTCCAGAGATGACATTGACATTCATCAATGAAAAATGACCAGACCCACAATCTGTAGAAATGCAGTAGCACACATCAAGCTATAGCAGCTATAGTAATATGATAGTAATGCTTATATCAGAGGAACACCAGCACCACCCCTCTCCTCACCTCATGGCACTCTCAATCTTACTCTGTCCCTATGCTCAATAATAGCTAGGAAAGAGTAAGCAAATCCATTTCACTTTTTCTACTCTTTTCTTTTCTATTTCATCATATCATTCTTTCCCTCTTTTTTTTCTCATGCACAAGTACCTGTCCCTAACTTTTCTTATTTGGCTCATGTTTGACTGTCAACAGAATATATAGATATTTGTTTCTTTCATACTGACAGCTCCTGAGCTCTGTTATTCCACACACTTCTATCCAGGTTAGAATAGAACACCCATCCTATGACTCTCTCCTATTCTAACCCTTTTCACTCCTGTTGTAAACAGTTCAGTGTGTGTGGTCATTGATCAAGGGTTGAAGAGTTGCTCAACCCCATATTGATCATATTTGTAACAGGTACTTGATTCACTTCTTGTATTTTTCCCTATGCTCAATAATAGCTTGGAAAGAAATATATAGATATTTGTTTCTTTCATACTGACAGCTCCTGAGCTCTGTTATCCCACACACTTCTATCCAGGTCAGCATGTATGGTCATTGATCAAGGGTTGAAGAGTTGCTCAACCCCATATCACTGCCAAGATATTTGTATCGGATGGGCCTATCCAATGTTCTATCACCCCAAGATATGCGATGCAGTGTCAGTAGGATTAGGTGCGATGGAATTACACTGCAATATGGTGTCGGAGCATTAGATACCAATAGTAATTCCATCGCACCTAATCCTACTGACACTGCATCGCATATCTTGGGGGTGATAGAACATCGGATAGGCCCATCCGATACAAATATCTTAGCAGTGGTGATAACCAGCTATGGATTATATACCAATTATGGATGACTCTATCTACTTATGTGAACTCAAGAAACATGTGGATGCAAGAATGTCAATGTGCTTGTGCTCTATTTTTAATCAGGCAGCTGCAACTGTGTTCATTCAAAGGCAGCACCTCTTGACCATACATAATTATGATGAACATGTGGGGTGCACCATATTGGACTCACCTGCCCCAGAGCTGGTTTTTTTCTCATCAGTTTCTTCTAGAATCTGGAAAAAGAAATCAAAGCTGGCCCTGTAAACTCTACAGGATTCCTTCTGACATGAATGGTGACTGAGCTGTCTGACACTGCAAGTCCTAACATCTTTTGAGGGTGTCTTTCAAACAGAGTATCCAGACAGCAGCTGCTATTACCCCAAAAATGTTTTTGGTTTGGATACAGCTTGGTTGGTGAGCTGCACTTACCAGTTTCCTTTGGATACTCAAGACTATACCCTGGTCTTTGCATGCGAACTGATCCCAAACACCTTTTTGGCAATTCTTATGGTCTTACAGAAACAGTGCATCAGTCCTGACTGATGGGCTTTCCTCCATCCAACTGAATATGAGTGTGTAATGTATGATCAAGCTTTCCTGGATGCTAAGGAGCACAAGCACCTCTGACATGAGAATGCACAGGCAAGAGTAGGTTGATTTCATCATATATCCCTATCTATGAAAGTCAGTCTGACCTTGCATTTGGACAAAACATTTATGTCCATCTCAGACAAACAAGAGAGCCAAGATCACAAGAAAGCCTCCATCAAAGGTCCCAAGGTCCACCCCAATCTCTCCAGGTCTGCATGTAAATTGTTCATTAATATTCTGGTACCTGACCATAGAGTGTCTGTTCTTTGCAAGTTAATTCCTGATGCATTCTTCATATCCAAGTGCCTCAGTGTCATCCACTGAAAAGCAGAAAAGGATTGGGAAGTCAGGAAAGGATTATTGAATTGATGAACTGCTTTTCAACCCAAAAAGATCTTGGTTTATTGTGATCAACTTCCTGAGCTGGAATTTATACAAATAGGAAATACACACATCATGGATCCAGCTAATTTTCATGAAGCCAAGATAAGGGCCCAAGATGAAGAAATCACCAGAAGAATGGTTATTGAAATATCCATGAGTCATTCCACTCACATCCCATTTCTCCAAAATCACCATACAGGATGAGTAATTCTTTGGAGGAGAGATGAACCAAAAGTGAATGCACTGTTTGATTGTACACCTTTTTAAGCCAGTAGTTTTGTATCTCTAGGTACAAGTTATTGGCCATGTCAGCCCTTGAGATCTTACCTACTAGTAAGATCCATAGGATGTTCACTTTATTTACATCAAAAGAACTCTATATAAAGATGTATATACATATATATATAAATAATTACAACACCTTTTAAGTCTAGTTTCAAAGACCCAAAATTTATACTCAATAAAAACCCACATAAATTTCACAAGCCTAGTATCTAAGGCTTGATTAATATTACAAGATTTTTCCAATGACTAGTTTGAAACAAAAGAAATTCAAACCAGTCCAATCACAGTCACTGCCAAGATATTTGTATCGGATGGGCCTATCCGATGTTCTATCACCCCGAGATATGCGATGCAGTGTCAGTAGGATTAGGTGCGATGGAATTACACTGCAATATGGTGTCGGAGCATTAGATACCCATAGTAATTCCATCGCACCTAATCCTACTGACACTGCATCGCATATCTTGGGGTGATAGAACATCGGATAGGCCCATCCGATACAAATATCTTGGCAGTGAGGACACCAAGAGTGATGGGCTTTTTCAGAGCATCTTTCAGCCACATTAAGTAGCTCTCTAGGTTCAAACTTGCTGGTTTGTTGTTCAGTTTGTCCAAGAGATAATTTGGTAGGAACAGCAGAAATCCCCAAGTAACATGGAATAACAGGTTTGAAGACTCAATATGTGTGTGATGAACTTGCTGGAGGATATCAAAGTTATCAATGCAAAGCACTGGTTATAGCTTAAAGTTCTGGCCCAAGACCTTGATTAAAAGTGTTTCTTGCGACTTTTGAAATTTTTCCATTTCTCAGAGGGCAGTAACCCACCTACTTGTCAGACCCATGGTATGCAAAAGCTGAAATAGACAAGTTGATAGCCCACTGGCCAGAAAAGTGAGGGCATTGTGCAGCTGGAGACCATTGTCCCTTAGGTTGACTGCAAATGACACCATGGTGCATACAATCCCTGCAATCTACAGCAACAATACAAGAACTATTAGCTAAGAAATATAGAGACATTCCCTCATGTGGTTCCTGACTTACCAAATCCACACATGTTTGTACCGCTTTGGCAATATCTGGCTCCTTAACATACACATCATCATCCTGAATCACCCCAAATTCATCACATCCTTCATCATCAGTCCCTTCATTAAAATTACTTGCATCTATCTCTCCTCTGGTCAACTCCGTATATTTTTCAGCCATTTCCTCCAAACTGAAATTCCATGTTGGTCTGCCTACTATGCGGTAATGATTTTTTTCCGCAGGCGCCATCAATTGAGAAAGAAGCTTGTCTTTCACACCGGCCGCGCGCTCTTCCATCGCATCCAGATCAAAAAATTTGGAAGTGATTTACTGTGAATTGTAAAATCAACCTGGCCTGTGTATTCTTGAGAAATGTAGCCAACAGCCTAATACACAACAAAGGTACAGTCCCAGTCCTAAATCAAATTGTTCTGATGCGCCCACCACTGTACTCACCTTGTATAATACCCATTCTTTTCAGCAAGCTTCTCCCTGCTTTGTTTTCACCATAATCATCTCAATGTCATATAGCTTGTGTTGAGTTCCAGCCATAGTCCTCCGCACCCCATAATTTCCTTCGGGATCCTAGGGTGTCGTCGTCCGCAGATAGAAGCGCATGGATCATTTCTTTGGCTGTGAATCCTTTTTCTTTCAGCCAGGTGACCCATTGGACTGTTTCTCAGGTGATGACCGGTCAGCTCTTGGTGGAAAACACACAACGAATTTTTTGCATGATTGAGTCAAGGAGTGGGAAATTGGGTATGCTCTTGCAATTGAACAAACATTTGAGTCAACCCGCACCCAAGTACCACATCTTTTTACCCAGTTCCCAGTAATCTTAGTCCATACGTTGAAGTTTAGTCCATACCTTTCAAGTGGTCTAGCAATTCAAACACTGTCGTGCTAATTAAGACTGGCTCCAAGGTAGGTTGTTGATTTCAACATTTTGGGCGGATTTTGTCAGAGATATAAAACCCCGCAGCGAGCAACAACGCTAAGGTTTGCTAAGGTACATTACTGGTACACAACATATTGGACGTGCCATTGGGTTTCAACCCCCCCCCCCCCCCTAAATTATGAGGTGAAACCTGAGGGCACAGGCACATGTACAATGGAGAAAGACACCTCTTTTGTCTTTGGACTGAGGAGATTGAGAAGAAGAGAGGGGGGGAAATGGGAAGGGAAGACAGCAGGTGCACTGGAATCTGTCGTACTCAGGCCAGTGGTCCGACCTTAGTTATAAGTCGCTCCTCGAGGCCTCGAAGGCTATTGAGCGAGGTGGGACTTGG